GAGCGCGTGATACAGCGCATATGAGTTACGATAATTTTTCGGTCTCTCGGCCTAAAATGTTAGCGCAAGATAGTGCTATTATAGTGAGGAAACAGTTGAAAAAAAGGGAAGTAAAATGGTCAAACACTGCTAGGAAAAGCTTTCGTTTCCATACTCTGGAAGTATTTCATACGATTTCCCGTAGGCATCTGCAGCAACGCCGCTACGAGGAGATACGGTTCACGCATGTCAACTCTTTACCCATGCAGCAATCCCTTTGCTTTCACATATTCTACTTCGCAAGAAGCGGTACGAGCGTCGGCCTACGGTCATCATCCTTTGGGCGGGTGGGCAAGCGGGAGGCGTTCGGCGTCGGTATCGTTGCAGTTTGATAGGCTTGTAAGGTTTCCTCTCTGGAAAAGGCGCCTACGGCACCTGTCGAGGACGTATTAATCCTTATATCTCTTCAAGGATTATAGGTCGTGCCAACGCAGAATCAACAATATGAGTTCACTTCTCGCCATTTTTTCAGCCTTAAATTATAAATACTCATTTAGTTCGAGCAGCAGTTACATTGGCGGCATTCATTTAGGAACTAACACATCTAAACTCTATGGATATCAAATTTCGTAAACTTCTGCTGATTTTTCTTTATATTGCCGCAGGTAACCTCGCCTCAAAGAGCCAAATCTCATTAGCGTTTTTCAGTAAGGAAAACTGCTGTTCTTGGGGACAAACGTGGTGGCAAGAAAACCTCAGCGTTCAATCCAATCACGTTGCTTGTAAGAATAAGACCGCACATCAGATACACCTTCCTACCTGAGACGTGGTTCCATAATTCTCATGATTTATTGAGGACTCGTGAGCATTCCAATTGTTCACATCGCTTGATAGGAGACTGTAAAGCACTACGTGACCAAGTGTCGACGAAAAGTATAACTAGTACTAGCTAACTTGTTGTACTTTTCGTCACTAATGTCGCATACAACAATATATCTTGAGTTTTCAGGATGTAATCAGAGAAACACTTTGTGAAACGCCAACAGTGCGATCACAAATAGTGGATAGTTGTAACTCCCGCGATCAAGTGTTACCGGTAGTAGGTGCTCAACCATGAACCAGTAGCCCATAAGTAGTCCCTCAATAGAGAAAGAAGCGAAAAAACCTCAGGAACACTCTGAACAGAGACCTCCTTAACAGTGGGGCCGGCGCCTTGGAAGAGTTTGTCGGACGTCGGCAAGCCCAATCAGCAGGATTCGACGTGCTCCCCGGCAAGAGCAGAAAACACTCTACGACGCTCCAGGCAACGCTATGTACACGCGCGATTCCGCTTGTAAGCCGTTGTCTTGCAGAGTGAAAGTAATCGTGGTTGCAATGGTTGCAATAATCACGCGTCTCTAGCTTCTTTATCTCGCCGTTTCAAGTGACGAAAGTGGTATATTCTCTGCGAATGCGGACAACGATGCCAAATGCACGGAGGCATTTCGTGGACCACTTGATCGTGGGAACTGTCTTCAAGTACAAATGACGAAGTGGTTAGGTAATCCAACAATGAGCACAAAAAGCAAAACAAATTTCGAAATGCTATGGCTTCCTCCCCCCCCCCACCTGCCGACCCGAGCTCATACGAGCAGACGACGAAAACGGAAACTACTTGAACGAGTTCTCACTGTTGAGACGATGCGATGGAGACTTTCCCCTCATCGCTTCACGCTCGCCATACAGAATGGAAATATTCAGTAGTGGACCGATCGTACCACCAGGAAGCCTTTAGAAACGAACGTTGTGGTGTTGATGGGACAGCGGGCGGGTTCGTACCCTTTTCATTAGTGGGTGGCGTATTTATCATATATTTCCTGAGCCACGAAAGTTGTAAATCATCTATGCTTGTGGACCCAGCTACCTTGTCAAATAAAAGCTCTGCAGATCAAGTGAACGCGGAACGCGTCATTTCCTAGCCTCTGGAGCCAGTAGAGTCGGATGAGAGAGCAGTAGCCACGAGAGATATCATAGGTAGACGAGGATTTGAAGGATGTATCTTTGGAGGCAGAAACAACTGGGTACTGGACAACCAATATAAAATCAGAAGTGAGAAAAAGTGATAATTCTATAGATCGGGTGCTCTTGAAGCCTGAAAGCCCAGAACAGAATTTATTTTGGACCATCATTCTTAACGTGACGACCAAGATCAATGCTATTTGGAGTGTGAAACGTTGCATACAGTTGATAACGTCGCACTCAAGCGGGGCGGTGTCAAGAAGGCGGAACGACCCTCCAATGGCTGCCTTACAATAGTGATAGGTTGGTGAACTATGTCGAAAGAAAATATGCAACGGTGGGAACGCCACACATCACTCCATCTCTATTGGAGCCGCTCCGAACGACTGCGACGTTATCATGTCTGGCAAAGGCTATCGAAGTAATCTAGGCTATTTCCTACTGCGTGGACTCCAGCGTGTTTTCAGTCCAGGTCCTGCGGTTCGAATGTCGCGCAATGTCGACGACATTTGCAATACGCTCTTCTTTGAACGCACACACTCGATGTGCAGGTTAGTTCCCGACACCCTCCGTGTTTTATGCTCATTAAGCAACCGCTCCAGACAATTTTTGAGCAAAATGATCGACTAGATTCAGGGATGTGCGGATACAGTTGAATGGTGCCAGCTACTGTGGTTTACAATCTTCACCCAGAGCGAGTCACGTATTCGACCAAATGATGGCCATATTAAACTTTTTGATTTGTTTAATTAAAGGTAAGAACCCCGATTACTCGCCATCCTCAGGATTGGTGGATTAGGGCGCTTTCCATATAGACGACAAGGGGTTGAGTAACTCGACTGTGAACAAAAAAAAGCACAAAAAACATGCCACCTGCCCTAGATAGAACCCCATTTCGATCCCAGTTTTTAACGTGCCAATCACTTACCAGATTTTCAACTTCAATACCTGATCGCGAACCGTGCCTTTTAATTACCTGTTTTTGACGGCAGTTTGCAATGCTAATGTTATCATAGAGATACTGAGATAACGTTTATGCCCGAGGTTTGCACGTTCTCAGATAATTCCCACGAAAATCATCTATCTTTAAGCGCTAAAAGAGTGGCCCAGGAGAGTTCCAAAGTTGAGGGCAACATACACTTCATATCCCATAGTTCTTGAGGGTGTGGCTGCGAACATGGCGTAGAATGCGTTTTCTCGTGGGATATTTCCACTTGAAACAGCTACTATAAATTTTCATGTTTTTATACTGCGCAAAGGCATGAATTACAGCTGTGCCAAAACGGTAGTATCCCGTCAAAGGGGCAGCCGCCGCGTTCAAATAAAGGGCGCTGTCACACCCTTCACACCTCCAGGATATAGAGCGCATGTAGCCTGCATTTCGGTCTTACAAAAACAGGCGACGCCTCGCTACTATAGATCTTTCTCTTCAGCAGCGACGCTCGCTACTATAGATCTGTTCTCTACAGCCACTTTCGAATCGTTCTGCAAACCGTGGCTAAAGCGACGTTCCATTTTGTTTCTTTTCAGAAACAACTGTAGCTCGAGAATTTTCGAAAACGAGTTTCGAAATATTTGAGTCATTTGTTAACAATGCATCATAAAATTATATTTGCCTCATTATTTTCAGCGGAATTTGAAGTGCCGACAATTATCATAATCCATAAAACCGTGTGCCAACAAACAAGGGCGAAATGGAATGCCAACAGTCCTGAAACTCGAATTACACTCGGAGAGGGACGTTCAAAAGGGCGTCTTCGGAACGTTAAGCCCATCCCGGCAATATTCAAGCCATTGCACTTACGCTCCTTATCCCTGGTGAGTAGGAGCGTGGCATTTCAAACATGGCATGGGGGTTATCGCTGAAATATTTCAATTTGAGACCAATTGTCACCATGTTCGTGCCGTGTTGTTGTTGGCCAACAATTTGATTAAAAATTATCCCCAAAAACATCGAAATAATCTCAATAAAAAGTCTCAACCTGCCGCCATTTCTATCCAACTGGCGCAAGCCACGCGAAGGCAACGGACACCAAAAGACCACGTATTAAAGCCAAAAATGAGATGGAAAAAAACGCTAAATATTCGGAAATCGGATACATTTGGTGCCATGAATGAGTGTGATAGCACCTACTAGCACCGAGACACCACCAAACCTATAGTCTGGAAGAGCGTGATAGAAGAGAATTGGGATGTGTTCGTTCGTTCACGTCCTTGATCAACAACATCGTAGCAATTGATTTCACACTTGAATTTGTGAAAGGTCGAAGGATTCTTTGCACTTGAGAGAAAACACTGGTGGTCACTCTAGGTGAAAACGGGTTTTTGTCGGATGGTGGCGGTTCTACCATGGATGGTCGACTCTTCAAATTTAAATAGAATGCTGCCTTGAACTCTGCTGAGTTGACAGGTAGAGACATAAAGTTCCATCGAATGTTTTGCGAGAACTTCTGTCAGTGCAGTTCTGAGAAGTCCACGCCACAACCGGAAGGAATCAAGACCCTGAAAAGAGTTTAACCCTGCAGTCAAAAAGAGTGAGACGTGCTGCTCAAATACCAGTGAGATTAATAAATGATAAAATAACAAACAAATAAACAAAAGCAAAGAAGAGGCAAAAAATTACCCTCGGAGTGTCCCCATATTAGAACCTCATGCTGAATCGTGATTGTGCGTAAGGCGAACATAGAGCGCGGTCGGGCGAGTTCTCACTTGTTGGTGTCAGCTCGTTCCCCTCGTTACCTCACTCTCACCATTCGGAACTCACCACGAAGAGAGCTAGTAGTGGAACAACCGCCTCACCAGGACGCCTTCAAAAATGGAAGTTGGGTGTTGCACGGGCCGGTGAGCGGGAAGGTGGCCTCGTCGCGAGCGAGTCGAGCTCTCCTCGCGCATTTTTGAGCTGCAAAAGTTGGTAACTCCGCTACCTCGCGGTCAGGACTACGATGCCGGAAGAAGGCGTATGAACATCAACTGGTTGCAGAGCGCGTTTTTAAAAGAGGCGCTTACGCTCACGTGCAGTATAAATGCTTGCCACTTGCGAGGATGACAGGCCAGCTCTAGAAGTGTTAACCAAACCGAGGTTGGCCCATTCCATGTGGGCACGACCAACAGCGGTCAGATCGGAACCATTGAAAAGCCTTTCATTGGTCAGCAAAGCTCGAGCAAAGGGTAAAAGAAAGATCAGAAGAAGTGCGTAGCTCACCTTGTGCTGCTTAAATTTTGGCTTGCGACGCTACTCCGAGATTTTCGTGAAGGGTATTTGTTGCCGTAGCGGATTTCTGCCGTTGAGATTTCAATACTGTTTATATCTCACCATCAGACCATATTTTATGTAAAAAGAAAAAAGTAAGAGATCCCTCATCTCATCGAGCTTTTCCAACTTCGCACAATTCTCGAAGCACTTTGAACCACAAGTAACAGGTTACATCTAGAATTCGATCTTCAGTTATGTGTGTGAAGTTTGGTCCCACCAAGTTTCGTCTGTGGCGGAGACTTCCACGACCTCCTCATATCTAGCCCAAGTTCGCTAAGACAAGGCGTCCAAGTGAATGACTGTAAACTCACTGTATTCGTGCATCCGACATTCTGAGCCATCTGAGCTGCACCTTGAACGAGTTGAAGTTTGAAGAAATGGAATTGTAGAAGTTGCTGCCTTGATAGCTATCCTTCCAAGCCCAACATCTTCCCAATTAAGCCCAATATAGCACCTGTATGCGCTTTTCGAATAAGTATGTAGGCAGTATGGCAGGCATTTCTATACGTCTTTGCCCACGAAATCAGTGCAGGAGTCAAAGAGTTGCCGAACCTGCATTAACTTCCAGACAACCTAATGATTAACCCAGAAACATGTGAATGTCCCATATCCTAGGGTTAGACACAGCCGCTGGGATATTCACATCGCTGCGCTAGGTTGAGAAGGTCAACGATGTCCCAGCAAGGTTCGACGGTCATTTGGGATCTTTCCATGGTGTCAACAGCCGTTCTCAGCCCTCCCACAGGTACACTCTGTACATATAAGGCAATTTCTCATTATATGCTCACAGTCTAACCTCCGTTATTTGAATACTTGAACTTCTTTTCCCTTCACGCTTTGCACTAATCATTTATCAGAGCCTGGATTAGCACATTTTACAATATTTGATGTTCACAGCCAATTTCAGGAACACTCTGTTCAAGAAACGTTCATTCAGCTTTCAACCAGTCCATTTCTCAGCCATCAGAAGCGATTTTTGAAACGATGGAGACCAAGGTATGGTTTTTGTCTAGTCAGCTTTCGTGAGAAAATTCCTCTTGAGTATTCCGTATTTTCTACAGGAAAAATCTTTGTGAGCAGCACGAATAGAAAGGGAAGAGACGTTCGAGGGTCCAAGGACAAGCATAGATAGCACTTGCAGGCTCACTAGGTTTAACCTCATCCTCGTACCCTTGAACCTTGGGCCAGGTTTTCCATCCCGCGGAAAACCGCTCGTTAGTGGGCTTGCCTTGAACGGTTGGATCTTACCATTAGAGCCACGTAAATGGAAAGAGGAAATGTCCCTTGAAAATTCCTCTATGGCTGTTACCAGAAGTACTCCGTTAAGCTTAGATGTACAACGTTACCTACCTCCCTACCTCAACTCCTATTTCCTGCGAAAGAACTCAGATGGTGAGGGGGGGGGTATATGAATGTCTCTTCCTCCACAGTTCTTCATCCTTCCACTCGATTACACTACCCTCACAGAGAGCCTAAATGAGTACTTCCCACGCCGGCTCGAATAAGACCACATCTGCGGAGGACTCATCAACAGCGAACTGCGCACTCTAACGTTTTTGTAACTCCAAGGACAGGAAAAACTCCCTATTGATGAGTTCAAGCACAGACAGCAATTTCACCACCTTATTGCTGTGTGGGTGATACATTATGGGAGATGTCTTTACTTTCAGATGACTGGCGTCCAACGATCGGCTACTTGGAATCCAACATCGGCGCGTGTCTGTTCAGTATTGAGAGAGGTACGTATTTTCTGACAATTCTGATTTTCTATGCCTTTCCAGAACGGTAAAATCTGAGGAATAAACCGTAACCTCTGAAGCTGCTTCTCTTTTCAGGAACAAATCCGTCGAACCCCAGTAATGGGCATCAAAGCAGAAGCTCGACGCCTTTCTTACATCAAGAATAGACAAATTCGACGGAACCAATCGACGCTATCTCGACGATCCATCCATCGAGGGAAGAAGACGTGGTTTCGCAGAAAGCCGCAACCACAGATGCGGAACTCCATGGACGAGAACAATTTACAGCGCCAGCATCAATCCACTGCTCAGTGGGCTAGAACCGTCATTAATCGATT